TATTTTACAATTGAGGATACAAAGAGAATGACTTGAATACCTTTAAGTCATTAAGAATAACCAGAAGATGAGTTGAGAAATAAGCATACAGGTAGGCAAGATTTGGTGCCATGTCTTTTGGCACTGGGCTACAAGGCAAACTGGATTCTGGATAAGCAATCTGGCTGGTATCTACAGCTCTTAATTTTTAAACAATAGCATAAGCAGTTAGCCAGAACTCAGTTTGACCCACAGAATTCTTCAAACAATCTCAGAATTACTGAGGCTGGAAGGGTCTAGAAAACATTCAGTCCAACCTTCCCTACTCAAAGTAGGGTTACCTCAAGCAGGTTGCTCAGGCCTGTGTCCAGCTGAGCTTTGACTCTCTCCAAGGATGTGGATTCCACAACCTCTCTCAGCAAACTGTAGCAGTGTTTGGCCACCCTCACAGCTGAAGAGCTTTTCCTTATCCTTAAACGGAATTTCCTGTTTCAATTTGTACCCGTTGCCTTTTGCCTTGGGCACCGAGAAAAGTACGGATCTATCCTCTTTATGCCCTCCCATCAGGTGTTTGTGCACAGACAAGATCTCCCCTGAGACTTATCTTCTTGAGGCTACACAATCCCAGCTCCAGTTTCTTAAACTTCACGGCCTTGGATTTTCTCCAGGATGTCCATGTCTTTCTCGTGGGGAGCCATGAACTGGACACAGCACTTCAGATGTGTTCTCCCCTGGGCTGAGCAGAGGGGAAGGGCTCGCATCCCTTGGTCTGCTGGGCAGTGCTCCTCCTGGCACAGCCCAGGCACTGTGGGCCTTCTGTGCTGCCAGGGTACACTACTGGTTCTTGGCCAACCTGTTGTTGTTGTCGTCCCTTTCTGCAAAGTTGCTTTCCAACTTATAGCAATATAGACCTCCAGTCTATATTGCTGCACAGGGTTATTTGACCCTTGCTGTGGGACTTTGTTGAACTTCATGAGATTGCTACCTGCCTTTTTTTCCGGCCTGTCACAGCCCTCCTGGATGGCAACATAAGTACCTGGTCTGCAAACCACTCCTCCCAACTATGTAAACTTGCTAAGGATTCACTCTGTCCCACCATTCAATTGATGAATGGCCAGTACTGGCCCCAGTATCAGACTCCAGAATACTCCACTAGTAATGAGACTGCAGCTGGACTTTGTGCTGCTGATAACAATCATTTAAGCCCAGAAGTTCAGCCAGTTTTCAGTCCATCTTACTGCCCATTATCTACTCCATGCTTCATCAGCCTGTATATCCAGGATGTTATGGGAGAAAGCAGTGAAATCATTGCTGAAATCAAGATAAACAACATAGACTGCTTTCCCCTAATCCACCAAGCCAGTGAACTGAAGTCCAGGGTTGTGATCCTGCTATTTGATTTGCCTTGTTCCCTTCTTTCAAGGTCTTGGACCCCATCTTCTCATGGTCACTGCAGACCAGGCAGAGCTCCAGGTATCCCTGCTGCTGTCTGATGGAAAAGGCCAGACCTGCTCCCCGCTGTCCTGGTCTACCCTTCCTAAATCCTGCCCAGATCTGCCCACTGCAGCAGTCAGGCAGGTGAGCCATCCTTCCGCATCTCTGGGATGTGATGCCCATCAAAGCCAGGGCTCTAATGCCTTTTCTTTGCTCCTTATGGACATGCATCAGTTTACAGACACTTTGGAGAACCCAGTCATGCTCATTTCCAGGAAGAAATCTGAGAGCTTCTTCAAAACTGTAAATGGATAACATGTAAAACACTGTGGCAAATGAAATGCTGGGGAGACTAAAGGTCTTCCAAAATGTTAATTTGATGGGTTTCATATTACAGAGTTCCTCTCTGTAGCACTTCTGATGCTGCCATGCTTAATTAATATCAATTAACTGAACCACTCCTTTCTTCTAATATAGCAGTAAACAACTGACATTTAAAAAAATTCTAGATGCCTGTACTTTCTGTGGGTGCCAGCTAGGCTTTCCAATGCTGAGTGCATCTGAAAATCACTGGCTTGCTTTGTTTTCAGACATACTGACGTGTAAATGTAACCAAGCTGCTCTTTTTAGATGCACATCAGTTAATTTATCTCCTCTCTCTGTCAAAGAAGAGTGAACAGGAAGGCCACACTGTTACATGTGAAATGCTTTCAGGGATATAGCACATATTTAAAAAGTGCTTAGCCCCATTATGGTATTCATTTTGGTTGTTATCTGAGCCTAACACTTCTCTTAGGAAACCTAAACTAAGTCACATATGAGCATAGTTCAAATTTTAATATGGAGTTTGGATACATTCAACTTTTCAGTAATGGCAACAGCTTTTCAAAATGAAATCCTTTTACAAATCTTTCCCTGAAGAAACATGGTGTGAGGCACTTTTAATATCCCCGAAAATAACTTGTGTTAGAAAGATTCCTGAAAGGACTTTCATATAGTTATTCATATTTTAAAAATACATGACAGAGCTAAAGAATTCTCTGGTCTTGGGAAACATTTTCATTATGAGCCCAGTCTTACAAGGGTACTACATGAAAGATGTCCTAATCTCAGAGGGACAGCTTGTTTTCTAGCTTTTTTTTTTTCCAAGTGGAGTAAAAATACAGAAACTGCTTGTAATTTGCAAGAGAAATTTTAATGGTAAAAGAAAACCATCTGCTGACATGCAGCCAACCAATTGTTCCTGTTAAGAGTGTTTTCTTCCCTTTGTTCTCCCTCCTGAAGGGAAGAGCTTCAAGAGTGTACCTAACTGTAATGGAAACTCATCCTGGCATTTTCAGGTGCAATTCTGTTTCCAGCTACGCTAGTGAGATTTTATCACTGACATAAAAGCACAATTGGATCCTTGGAGGGTAAGCAGAATTTTACCGCCTGTTTACTAGAGAAATTGAAGTGTCTGAGTTTAATCTGTTTCTTTTCTTCTATTGTGAACTCATAATACTGAATTTGTGACTGTAAAATAGCAACTTTACTCTGCATCAGAGTCCTTAAGCACAATTGATAAGAAATAAATGCAGCACAGTACTGATTAAATAAACACCCTGTAGTATAAACACACACATCTTCAAACATGATCCACTTTAAAAGCATCCTTATAATCAGAACCTATATCCTTGCTCCTCTTCCTAAGATGCTCTGAGGGTGTATTAGGTACCTGAGGTCATGGGACCGTTCTTACCATGTTTCTTTAGAATGAATGCATGACTACATGTATATTTTAAAATAATACAATTTATTAGTACTATATTATGTTTTCTTGTTGAACAGCCTCCTCGAACATATGTGGTGCTCGATACTCATGTACGTTTATTGTTACAGCAACTGGTAGTTTCATGCTTGCTACTTTTTTGGTACTGCTGCTTTCATGTTTGCTATTTTCCCATCAGTCTAACATAATTGGCTGAGCAAACACCACCCACCTTTCATTGACTTCTTTTAGAACAAAATTCTAATTGCAGACAACTTAAGGAAGCAACTTAATGCTGCTCCAGGCCACACAAGTCTTCATTACTCTCAGGGCAGACAGGTCACTGTCTGCATGTTGGCTGCATGCACAAAAGGCACAGAGATCCACATACTGGAAAATTTATTGCCTTGCTTCTGAAAATACTGCAGGATGTGCAATTTTAATTAGCCAGTCTGACTATCCATCGTCATTGTACACATGTTCATGGCATATGACAAAAGAATCCTGCTTTTTTTACTGCCAGTGATTACTCCCTCCTTAAAATTCAACAAAAAAATGATTGAAGTTAAAAAGATCATTAAGAACAATGGGAAAATAATCCCAAATTTGTTGTCTTCTGCATTAAAAACCAAAGCCACTTTAAAAATAGGTCTTGCATGCTACTTACATATATGCACTCACCTTTCAAAAGTGAAACTACTTAGTATGGCTCTATTAAAGTGTTTTTTCAAAGCAATAGCAGGGATCTAGGAAGCCAAACCCTTCATGTAACATTCTATGGCATTGCTACTGGATGGAGTCCATCTGGATAGATTTTTTTAATGGGGCTTAATTTTTTTCTGCAAGAACCACATGGTTTCTACTGACCATGTTTGTAATCTGTGAAATGTTACTGCGTCCAGCTAAGCTCTCCTGAGAATGGAGAGGTTTTCAGGGGTGGAGGAGGAACAGCTGTAGGCGAGCAGGCCTCTCTTGATTTTTTACTTTTCCCAAATGTTGGACCTTCGGCCCTCAGCAGCTCCCAGCTCTGCGCAGCTGGCTGCTCTCTGCCACGCCAGCTGTGCCTTCCACTGCACCACATCTTCTCCCCACTTCCTTACCCACCCATTTTTTTCACAGAGAATAAGTTTAGATCTCTTTCCCCCCTCCCGTGCAGAATCACGGAATGGGGCAGGCTGGAAGGGGTCACAGCGGGTCACCTGGTCCAACCTCCCTGCTCCAGCAGGGCCATCCCACAGCACACGGCACAGGACTGTGTCTAGAGGGTTCTGGAATATCCCCAGTGAGAGAGACCCCACCCCTCTCTGGACAATCTGTTCAGTGTGTGGTCACCCACACGGTAAGAAAGTTCTTCCTCATGTTCAGGTGGAACTTCCTGGGCATCACTTTCTGCCCGTTCCTCTGGTGCTGTTATTGGGCTCCACGGGCAGAGCCTGGCTCAGTCCTCCCTCCCTTCAGATGCTCACAGACATGGACGAGGTCCCCTCTCAGTCGTCCCTTCTCAATGCCCTGATCACCCTGTGCTGGACTCGCTACAGGAGCTCCCTGTCTCTCTGGTCCTGAGGAGCTCAGCACTGGGCGCAGCCCGGCCGTGCCCGGCCCGCTCCCCACACACAGCCCGGCCGTGCCCGGCCCGCTCCCCACTCCCGCCCCACCGTGCCGGGCCCAGCCCTGGCGGCCGCTCCGTGCCGCCCACGCCGCCCAAACCTCGCGATACCTCCCGCGCTCCGCCGGCTCTTTTAAGTTCTCGCGATAGCCGCGGGGCCCCCTCACCCCGCCCGGCAGGCCGGGCCGGGCTGGGCCGGGGCCGTCCCGTGGCCGGCGCGGGGCCGCAGCAGGGCCGGGAGCGGCGGGGCACTACCCCGAGGCGCCCCCCGGGCTCCCTCAGAGCCCCCTCCCAGCGGAGAGGCGGTGCTGGGTCCCCAGAGCGGCGGTGCCCGCCCGCCCCCGGTGCCTCCGCCCACAAGGCTGCGTTGGGCTTTGCACGGCCCAAAGTTAAAATGTGTGATGATGGTGCCCCAGGTAAGCGTCTTCCGTGTGTCTTACTTTACAGTGTCCTTGAATTTTGCTTTTACAGTCGCTTATTGAAGTGTAAAAAAACCCCAGAAACCCTGACGCTCTACATTAAGTGGTCAGCTTTCAATAGTTAGAAGCATTAATGATAATTTCGCCTTTTTTTTTTTTGGAGTAGTGGTTGAAAGGAGCTAGTGTGTGACAGGAGGCCATTATTACAATGATTTAGCTTAAAATAGACAATGGCACATTTTTTCGAACTGTAATGTAGGCAAGCATCTGAAATACCAGCTTTCTTCATGGTGGCAGGTGTACTGTACCCATGCCAGGAGGCCATGCCAGGTAATTTTCTTTGTTTTTAAAGACAGTACTCCACATAAATTATGGTTCTAGTTAAAACCCCACGAACTTAGGGAGTCAGGCTAGTTAAAGTAGCAATTCTTGCTTTGGCCTGGTAGGCTTTTGTAGCCATGGTGTTCTTAATACCACTTTTTGTGTGTGTGCATTTTTCTCATTTTGTTCTTTGTTTCTCACTAGATTTGGAGCTTGGTAACACTAGTACTATTGCCCAGTGTGGTTTATTCCACTTTACACCTGGAACTCCAGTTGTGATGAGTCCTATGCAACTCCTTAACCTCACATAAATGCTTAGTTAAAAACAATGATGCTGTCGTCTTAAATCGTGGATTTAACTTGAAAGTCTCTAAACTAATGTTGTGTGTCACTGCAGATATTACTGTAAAAGAAAGTAATTACAGAAATGCTCTTCTGTTTTAGACTTTGGTTTGCATATTTATCAGTGCACTGTACACAGCTTGTCTCAGGTTTTCAGTTTTAGTTCCTGTTTTTATGAAATTGTTGGAAGACTTAGATGCTACTGGGAGAAGTTAATGTACACACCTTTTTGCGTGGATTTGACCATGTGTGAGACACTGGTACAGATACTGAGAGCTTTAGGGACTAGTTGTTTGTGATTTGTTGAACCTGTACTTCACCCTTTGCCTCAAGAAGATACATTTGAGCTTCAAGTCTTGGAGAAGATCCGAGGGAATGGCCGAAGGTAGGGAACAGCTTATGTGCAGGTCCCAAGGTGCAGGGCTGAACTCCTCAAGTAAGGATGATGGGGGGCATTATTAAAGAGGTCTGCAAAGTGGTGAGTCTTGTGGAGAGGTCATGGTTTATGTCCTTGTTAGTGTACGATCTAGTGGGCCATCAGTTTGGGTCTTGGGACCGAAGTTCATATCAAGCAAAAGCATGACAGGTGTGAAGAGCAGACCTGCAATATCTGTGGTCAGAAGGCACTGAATGCAAGAAATCTGCGTATGTTGAAAGGGAAATGGAGCTACTGAGAAGAGAGCAGTCAGGCTGGGGTTTGCTAAACAGACAAATCACACATGGCCTGTGGAATCTCTGTAGCTAAAAGACTACTTTAAGGCCCAAGAGTTTTAGAAGAGGAGTACTCTGTATGTTTGTACTGTTTTTATTGTTACCTCATGTCATGTTATGGCCAGTGCTGGCTGCAGAATAGTGGGCTACACGGATGTTTTTGTTTTAGGTATATTATTCAATCCATTTAAAAAAATGGATTGTAGTTATCACCAATTTAACTGATACATCGTGGAGAATAGTCCTGTGAGGATACACTTCCAGGACCCGCTGAGGAGAACCTCCATGGGGTTTTCACACAGAAACATAAAAATGGGTGAAGTTTCTTGCCTTCAGGACTCCCTCTTTTCCTTACCTCTGAAAAGTGTCTGTGTTGATGTGCCCAGAAGCGTGTACTACCGCTGGTCATAAGCATGAAGTGTGAATACTTGCTCTTGGACAAGAGTCTCTCTGGCTTGCTCTTTCCTGGAAAAACCTTAGGGGCCTCTCATTGTCATTGATAATGACTTTCTTAGCAAATAAGCAAATAGATAAGAAGAAATGAAAGTCCTGAAATTAATCATGTATCCCTTTGTTTTGTGGTGGCTGAGCAGGGGAAAGTTGGAAATTTTTTCTACAAACTCAGAAGGACACCCCTTTCTCAGTTCAGATTTGGAAAACTCCATGCCTCCATTATTTACGAAGTCTTTTTACTGTGAAGAGTGAAGGCCTTGTGTTTTCTGATAGTTTTTTTTTCTTCTAGTTTTTGTTGTCAGTATGATGTAGGTTCTTTTGATGCTGATATGCACTGCTGTGTTTGCCTGTGTGAAGCCACTGTGTAACAACCTTATGCATCACAATCTGGCTTTTACTTTTTTTTTTCCATATACACCTTCTGGTATTTATAAAATAACAGTGTTGGAGCAAACTATAATTTTATGTTTAGTTGTAAACAGTAATTGGTTTCTTTATTTTAGTGCTTCCTTCAGTAAAGTGTTTTATCTTAAGATGTATGCATTTTGTCAAATAAATTTACATCCAATGTTTTAATAGTGTGAAGAAATTAAACACTTTGTATGTCAGGCCAGTTTATCACTGTGTGTTTGGTTTTTTTATAGATTGTTGGCGTATTGGGGAGAAATGCCTTGCCCCTTGTCTTGAAGATGGAAAACTTCAGGAAGGAGTAATAACCTCACTTGAAAAGGACAGGAATGGAAAATCGTTTGCTGTTGTATTATTCTTGGAGTCTGAAGAAAGGAAAATATTATTAACTAAACTTTGCAGAGTCAAAGACAGTAGAGGACCCTGGAAAAGCTTAATATTTGATGATGTTGATCTGGAAAAGCCATATTTTCCTGACCAAAATCTTCCATCTCCTGGAGTTGCTTTTAAATTATCAGACAGTGGCGATTTTATCCCATATACAATTAACAGATACCTGCGTGATTATCAAAGGGAAGGAGCCCAGTTTCTGTACAGACACTATGCTAATAAAAGAGGATGTATTCTTGGAGATGATATGGGCCTCGGAAAAACAATACAGGTATTCTTTTTGATTATTACAGTGGGAGAACAGCATGTTTTGTGTGAACTGTAAGTCTGTATTTATGAAGCTTAACCTCTCCTTGTTATTGTGAAGTCAGATGAGCCAGGACATGACCATCCAGGACAGCACTCAGAGCCAGGAGCCATTGCTGATATAAGATTCACTCCTGTCAGCCATAAAACTGGGATGTGGCCCCTTTGGTTTACTGTGTTGAATTTACTTTGAGGATTGGTACCTGTCCATCCTGAAAGGAATTTGCACTGCAGTGCACTAAACCAACTTGGGACCCTTACCTGACTGTAGCTTTTAAAATGTCTCTTTTCTTTTTTTCCTGAAAATAAATAGTTTCCCTGTTCTGAGAATGGGAAGGAGCAGGCACATTTATTCCTATCTCTGGACCATCCTGCTTCTGTCACTCTTTTGGAAGTGCAGCTGGGTTGATGAGAGGACAAAGTATAGCTGGATTTTTTTGTTATGCTTGGATTCTGTGTGGCCCAAATTGTTTATTTATTTTGCTATAATTAGGGTGTTTCTATGTGTGGAAATTCACTGTAATCTGTCTAGTTTAAAGTTAGCATCTTGAGTCTGGTGGTATCTAGTCTTTGTCCCCCTCTCCTTTTTCTCTGTCCATGTGTCAAATGCAAGCTCATTCCTTCAGTGACAAGTATTGGCTGTGGTATCTGTTGCCCTTCCATTTAGGAGAATGTTGACAGAAACCTTTCAGGGCAAAGAAGTATTGTTCTGTAGCAAACTTGACAAGAGGAGTGGGTAAGCTAAACTGACAAAACTCGCTGATGATGGTCTGGTAACAGATGCTTGTTAAAAGTAAACTGCATCCATTTGAAGCATGGCCATAGCAGTTTAAGAACTCAGTAGTTAGGGAAGGCTGTTTCTACTCAGAACTGCGAATAATCTGATTTCATGTGGTAAGAAGTATGTATAGAAGATAATAGTAAACTGGGAGGGAGGGGGGACAGGAATTGTGTGGTTTTGCTTACATCGCTTTCATTTTTTGGATCTCAGAGCTGATAGTGTGTTCCTACGTGGAATTCACATATGATGGTTATTTCTTTTAATCTGTGTCAAAATTGCAGAATTAAGGTAGAGGTTTCAAAAAACATCTTCTGTGAGGAATAACAAGGAGGGATTCTGTAAGTACACAGGTCAGAAAAGAAAGGCCAAGGAGGGCAATCTGAGGCAGGCAGCATGGCTTTAGTAGGGGCAGATTGTGCCTGACCAGTCTGGTGGCCTTCTGTGGTGGAGTGATGGCAATGATCGATCTGGGGAGACCAACAGATGCCATCTACCTAGACTTCTGTAAGGCCTGTGATATGACATCCTTATCTCCAAACTGGACAGACATGGATTGGATGGATGGGCAGTTTGACGGGTGCAGAGAGTTGTGGTCAATGGCTCTATGTTGAGGCAGAGGCTGGTGATAAGTGAAGTCCCTCGGGACTGTTCTACAATGTCTTTATCAGTGACATAGACAGTGAGAGTAGTGAAGCCTCAGAAAGTCTGGAGATGACACAAAGCTGAGCACTGCAGTTGACACAACTGAAGGATGGGGTGCCATCCAAAGGGACCTGGAGAAACTTGAGAAGTGGGCCCATGAGAACCTCGTGAGGTTCAACAAGTCCAAGTGTAAGGTGCTGCACCTTGGTCAGGGCAGTCCCAGACATGAGCACAGGCTGGGAGAAGAGGTTATTGAGAGCAGTGCTGTGGAAAAGGACTTGGGGCTTCTTGTGGATGAAGAGCTGGGCATGAGCCAACAGTGTGTCCTTTTAGCCCTGGACTGCAGTTCAAGGGAGGTGACTCTGTCCCTCTGCCCTTTGAGACCCCACCTGGAGTGTCCAGCTCAGCACCAGAAAGATGGAGGGCCACAAAGGTGATCCCAGGGATGTCCTACAAAGACAGGCTGAGAGAGTTGGGGCAGTTCAGCCTGGAGAAGAGAAGGCTCTGGGGAGACCTTCCAGTACCCTTTATGTTAAAGGGCAGGTTGGATGAAGGCCTGATCTAATGAATGGCACCCTTGCCAGTTGCAGGGATGATCTTTTAAGGGCCCTTCCAACCCTAACCATTTTATGATTCTGGGATCTTGTGATTTTTTATAAAACACAGTGTTTATGTTCCAGTTCAGTATGAAAAAGGCAGTTCAGTGGATTTGAAGTAAAAGGAAGAATTCACTTGTTTAGAAAAAGTTAATACATATTAAAAAATAAATACTAGTTAAACTTCATCGAGTAGCTGATTGAGTCTTATAGAAAACTTATGCTTGTCAGTTGCCTGAACCTTATTGTTTCTCAATTATGATTTATGAGACAAAGACTTTTCTGGAAACCTTTATGTTCTTTGTACTTCTGAACTGATTTTTGCTTAAATTGGCTTGACTGTAGGGCTCTTTCAATTCAAGCTGAGGTTGAGATGGAGTCGAGTAGGATAATGTTGTTTCTTAATGTGAATACAGTAAGTTGTTTTCCTGTTAAGGCCTCTAGGTTGCTTCTTGCTTTGTCTGGAAGAGCTGAAGATTTCTCAGAGTGATTTGCCATGTTATGGTGTTTGCTATTGTTAGAAATTTGTGATACAAATGCTTCCAAAAATGAAGGATCTGGAAGAGACATGGAGTTTTATTGTTCAGTTGAATTTAATTCTTATTCTCAAAAGGAGTTTAAAAAATAATTAAAAGTCGTTAATTAAACAACATATGCAAACTTGCAGTTCCTCTTAACCTCAGCTTATGTGAAATACTATGTATAAAAATGTTTGGGTTACTTTTATTCAACGTACCTCTCTCCCACCCTGCGACCACATTAATGATGGATTTCCTCTCTTCTGTCCATCTGACTTTTCTCAGGCAGGTATTTTTTCTGCACTTTTGACCTCCTGACTGGCTCTTTCTCCCTGTCATTAGAGGGAAACAGCTCTTTTTATGGAAATCAACGGTTGATAGCTTTACCTCTGCCCTGCTATGAGCAACTGTGCAGCAGCTGCAGAAGGAAGTGTCTGGAGCTGACTGCTCTGAGGAGAAGGGGCCTGTTGAGTTTTCAAAAGAAGGGCACCTCTCTGATGATGCATCTGGTCCTTGCTGCTGCTTAGTCCCACACATACCATTTATCCCAAGTGGATTTTATGGATTTGCATGTTCTGGCCAGATATCTTTCTGCTTTATTCCTGTTTTGGTTTGCCATGGGAGCAGTTTGGAATAGCCTGTGCTGTTTGTCCTTGCAGTGGTGTATTATAAGAAACGTCTTCTCACAATCACCTTGACTGAGGCAGGTGGGAGAATATGGCACAGCAGAAAGAAATGGTTTTGATGTTAACAACAGCAATTTGAAGGAATGGAACATACAGAAGAAGACATACTAGTAAGAAACAAACCTCTAGGTTAAGCATCTTCTTCCTATTGCAAAAATAGTGTTGAGAGTATAGTTGGCAAGTGTATGTTCCTTCTGAATTCTCATCTGAGATTCAAGTGCCCTCAAAGGGAGGAGAGTTGCAGGGCATGCTTCATCTCTTATTTTTCCCTGGCTTATTTGTACTCCGTCGGGGCTTTTTCACTTAGAGGATGAAAGAGTGAGATAGAGCAATTAATTGCTGTTATCATAAATTCAGGGAATTCATGGGAATCCAAGGGAAGGGGGTCCCATTTTAAAAAGTGAGACTGGTTTTTTTTTGTTTAGGGTTTTTGTTTGTTGGTTTTAAATCAATCTCCCCCCTCCGTGAAACCATCTTACTAAGTCACATCCAGGATTTTGTCCTAAATGTTTATTTTCAGTGGAACTCATTCAATTTCTTGTTGTACATAATCACTGAGAATTGTTTTCTTTCTCAAGGTCATCTCATTTTTGGCTGCAGTGTTGCACAAAAAGGGAACACGTGAGGATATTGAAAATAATATGCCAGAATTTTTACTGAGGACAATGAAAAAAAAGGGCTCAAATTGTAACCCGAAGAAGGTACAACTTTTAGTGATATAATCTTACGGATTTTGGTAAAATGCAATACTTGGATTTTTTTTGTTTGTTTGCTGTAGGAGTTTATGTACATTAATTTTTAAAATTCAGGTACTGAAGTAGACTAGTGGTTCATGCCTTTCCTGGTAGGGTTAGGGAAGCCTTCAGTTTTCCAGACTATCTAGCTGTTATTGTCTAATATGTTACTACTGTTGATCTGCACTAAAACAAAACATTTTGAAATATCTGGGTTAGACCTGTGGCTAGAGTACTTTGAAAAAGCCTGTGTTAGTGAGTAGAAAATCAGTGTCGTGTGATTGTATTTTTAAAGTAAAAAAAAGCATGTATAGCCATAACAACAGGATATTTATTTAAGACAAGTGCATATAGTTGGAAAATGTATTGCTAATAGACTTGTGACCTCCCGTATTTTCTTGATTGGCTGTCATAATGTCAGAAGTAAGTTTTACTGATAAGCTGAGTAATCCAATACAGCAACAACAAATAAAAGAAACTTCTAAAAGTTCTGTGTGAATAAGATAATCTGAAGATCATTTTAATTTTACCCATCATGGAAACCATGTGATTTCTTTTTTCTGTTTTTATTTTATTGGAATAATTAGAGAATTTGACTGGCATAATGAGTCATATGACTAAGCTCTGAATAATGGATACATGTTCCTCAGGAAATACAGGCAAAGAGGAAGAGGTGAAGGGATAGCACTTCATGTGTAGAGAAACAGGAATGCTGCTGTCTGGGAGTAAGAGAAGAACGTCATTTTGAGAACATGTAATGTTGAAACAGGTCATAGGATGGACCCCACCCATCCTTGTGGGGTTTTGAAGACCTGAGTTGGGAAAGCCCTGGTTTGAATTCAGTGTTGCCCCTGCTTTGACTGTAAAGGTGGTCTAAAACCTTTACTTCCTACCTCATTGATTTTATTATTCTATGATATGAAGTGAATTGTATGAGCTGTCTTAAGTTTTTAAACCCTTTTCAGGTCTTTTTGTTTTGAAGTCATAGAATGGCTAGACTTGTGGATGGCTAGACTTCATCTTTTTGTTTTCTCATCTGTAAAACAGTTTATGGTATACAGATGGTATAACAAAGCAAAGTGATAGTGTTTCACATCTTATTGCAGTTGTTAAAGTATAATTTGAGTAAGTAGTGCTGTTTGGTATTTAATTTTAGTATTACGGTATTTTCTTCTGTACTATTTATGTACTCAGAATAAACTGATTACTTTTAAATTTGTATTAACTGTTCAAATATTTTCCATGCTATGTTTTGAAATGACAGAATTAAACAGTTGAAACTGTTCAAAGCAGTAAAATAAATCTTGAGATTTTGACTTTCCTTGTTGAGAAAGTGCTATGTTGTGGTTTTTCAAGTAATACTGTAATACATATTTGTTTTCAGACTTTCCTCATAGTGGCCCCTCTTTCAGTGCTGTACAACTGGAAGGATGAGTTAGACACGTGGGGATACTTTAAGGTCTCTGTCTTACATGGCAGTAAAAAAGATGATGACATGAGTCGTATCAAGCAAGGGAAATATGAAGTTGCTCTTACAACATACGAGATACTTCGCCTGTATTTGGATGAATTTAACAGGTAATAGTTTTAATGTGTTTTTCTACACATAGAATTTTAACTAATCGTGCCTTGTTCTTTGCAAGTACTTTTTCTATGTAATGTATTTACATTACACTGTTAAATCCAGTAACTCACTGTGCTGAAGAGAAGAATCCCATTTAACTCTGTTTGGTGACTGTAGCCTGTAATATCTTTGTAGTGGGATACTTGGTGGCAGTAAAGCATTTAAATAGTTTCCATGAAACTAGTCTTTGCTTTTAGCATACTTACGACATGTTCTCCAAAAGATGCAGGAATTTTGCCTGAAAACTGATGACAACTAAAAGACACATAGAAAATATTTCTACCTTTCAATACAGTGTAAGGAGACCAAAAACCTGGAATTTTTAGCAAATGTTCAAAAAGGTATTTTCCTTGTTATTTGCACTTTTCACCATCTTGATGAAATTCTTGAGTCCTAAAAACTTTGAGATTTAAACCCACACATTTCTTATCTGATCCTAGAAGTCCTTTTCCCTTATTTTGTCTTGGAAGTAGAGTACAATTTATAGTAGCAGCCTGCTCTCAGCAGCTGAAGTTGTCAGTGGATCTGGCAATCTTGTTTCAGGTGTTGGGAAAGGTTCAGGCCCCAGAGAGTGCCCCAGTTGTCTGGACAGCCATCACCAAAACAATCAGATCTTCATCTCTGTGCTCAGGTCTGAGAAGTGCAGATAGAAGAGCAAATTAGTTTTGTCAGTAGTACCCTGAATCTTTGTGTTGTCTTCGAGAGACTCTTCAAGCTTGGTCAGGAAATAGGTGCACGTGCAGAGCAGACCTGATGTATGACTGCCTGCAAATCCTTTGCTTCAGCTTGCTGGTTTACCAAACTGTTTCTGGTCTGTGAAGCCATGTCTTGCTTAGCTACAGTGATGGATTGGCCTCAAAAACTGCTCTTAAAAAATTAGCTATCACTAATAAGAATACATATGCTCGGTTATGCCTGTAAATCAGCATAATGAGAGATTAGGTGGAAGGAGCTAGCCTATGGATTTCTGTTAGGCTCCTTTCAGAAACTCCAATTTTTAGCATATTTTAGGAACTCTGATATGAATGACTGTATTTAGTGGGTATCAAAAATTTAAAAAAGAGCCTTGAGATTAGCTAAATGCAGCCTGCTCAGGATAGAGGCTTTCTACTAAACATGTCTGTTTCAGTTTTTTATAGTCTTGAAGGATCATCAAACTGAATATTGTGTTCTGAAATATTCATTCATATATGTAAAGTGAACTCATAATAAATTCCCTCATAGGGACTTGATGGCTTAAATTAGTATAATTCTGTACAGGTCATTCTACCCTTAAGTTTTGTGCTTGAACTGGCTGCAAAATATCTGTTGGTGACTGCCTCTAGATATGTTCCTTCTAGTCACAGTCACAAAATATTGAAATTCCTCTGCCATATTGGTAGTGTGTAGATATTCTTGACTGGGTTGCTTTCTTGTAGAAAACCACACAGATAGAAATGTTTTCAGCCAACTGCTAGTTATGCTGGATAGTTTTTGTTGGGAAGATGAAGCATGTTTCAGTAGTTCATGTTCAGGGACTTACTTATTTTTTGTAAATCATAATTATGAGCAGAGCTAATATTGGGGAGATGTGCTGCCTTCATTGCTCCAGAGATTGAAATCTGCTTTCTTCACAGAAAGCATTCAATACAGGTAACAGTACTTCATTTATTTGGCTGTGTAGTTCAGCTGTTATATTCTGCCATATTCAACTATGGCAATCAATTTTACTAAACAAACAGAATATAAAGAAACTGAGTAATATAGTACAATGTGAAACAGGGAAATAAAAAAGTAATAGTGTGTTATAATGATCGCAGCCTCTTGTGCGTCTGCCTTCACTTTTGTTATGTATGTGGGATGACAGGATAAGAAATGTCAGCTAATAAAATGGTTTTTTTGATCTGCAGTGTAGAATGGTCTGCTGTGATAGTGGATGAAGCACACAGAATCAAGAATCCAAAGGCTCAAATAACTCAAACCATGAAGTCATTAAAATGCAGTGTTCGTATAGGTCTTACTGGAACCATTCTTCAGAACAATATGAAAGAACTTTGGTGTGTCATGGACTGGTAAGTAATTTATTTTTTTTTATGGTTAAACACCTCTATATGCTAACTGTGCAGTGGGAATGGGGTAGAACTGGATGATATGGTCCCATCTGTGTCATAAAACCAACAAAAACAAACCACAACATCCGCCTCAAACCCCCGGATGTTTTGTGAGAATGTAACTGTGTTTTTTTTAATGCAGCTGTGAAGGTGAACCCTCAGTATGAATTTTCCAGTTATTTAATACATTTGGAGCTCCTCACAACTGGCTTTTTTGGGAAATGTGGGAAGCAGTTAAAAAGATTCTTCCCCCACCCACCATATTTACCTTTTTTTTTTTCTTATGGACGCTTTTTATGTCTTCTGTCCTTTGCCCAGTAGAGAGGAAATCATTACAGAACCTTAATCAACATTGTGCCTTTGCTCTGTCCAGTATGTGCAGGTCATTCTGACCTGCTTGGAGGATGAATACAAAACTGCTTTGATGTTTTTCAAAGTGCACAAATGCACTTATTTGCAAAGCAATGGTCTTATCCAGAAAAACTTTTAATGGAGAAGGAGAAGTGCAACTAACTGTAAATAAAAACCTAAACAGAGAAGACTTACTGGCAGTGCTTTATAGAGGAGGAACAAAGCAGACATACTTTAAATATAAGGATATACAGAGCAGAAATAGCAGGAAAAATACTTTAAACTTAAGTATTGCATCTGGTCCACTGAAGCTATACTTGTGTTGTTAATAGATTGTTCCAATATGTAGTGCTGCCAAGGATTACTAAATTCTTTTTACTGTTGGGTTTCTCAGGATTTTATTTAGTAGATTGTAATATCTGCATAATCTGATTTAATAAAAATGGTAAAATTTGAAAACATGACTGTTTAGCTTCCAGTTTAGGCTCTAGATGGTAGCAGCCTTGTAGTTTAGAGGTTTTATATATTTGTGACTTCTGTTGGTCTGCTAAGCTTTTGCTTTTCTGGAAATTGCAAACCTTTTTCTAAGGGGTATTCTCAGCATGTGAGAGTCACAGAAAGCAAATGAGAAGTGGCATGTCTGAAAGTAGTATATGTTTCTATTTGTACATACAATTTTTAGTATTTTCTCTAGTGATTGTTAATTTAAGATCTCTTTGCTGTTAGCCAGAAAAAAAAACTACGATATGCTTTCAATCAGTAAATCAACCCCATGAATCTGAAAAATCGGTCCAAGAAACTGCTCAGACACATTTTTTTATCTTTAAGCAGCAAGGTATTTGTTTATTCAACGTTGGGAGCAAGCCAGCTCATGCTGGACAAACTTGCTCTACTTGAAAGTGCAAAAGCAAGCTATTTTATACACTTTAGATACGTGGTTACATCATTTATTATACATATTAATAAGCAGGCTGGTCTC